GTCGAGACGGCGATGAAGTACCTGGGACTCGTCCTCGACAGTCGATGGAACTTCGTGGAGCACTTCCGACGTTTGGCTCCAAAGTTGGCGAGGGTGGGGGCTGCGTTTAAGCGCATCCTCCCCAACCTCGGGGGGCCAAACGCCTCCTGCCGGAGGTTATACGCCGGGGTCGTGCGGTCCATGGCCCTCTACGGCGCCCCTGTTTGGGCGCCGAACCTGCTGCAGCGGCCCGCTCGGGCGCTGCTTATGGCACAGAGGGTCATGGCGATCCGAATGATCCGCGGATACCGCACGATCTCTGGGGAGTCGGCGAACCTCCTTGCCGGATTACCGCCGTGGGATCTGGAGGCGAAGGTGCTCGCGCGCGTGTATCGCATGCGCGCGGAGGCACGTCGCCGGGGCGAAACTCCGCTGCCGCGCCAGATAAGTGCGTGGCGGGATGAGCTCCGGCGCGATCTCATGGCGGAATGGCAGCAACGACTGTCGCAACCGAGGGCTGGGCTCGCTGCCATTGCAGCGGTAAGTCCCCTCTTTGAGGAGTGGCTTGAGAGACGCTACGGCGTCCTCACCTACCGCCTGACGCAGGTCCTCACCGGACATGGAAGTTTCGGGAGGTACCTGTGTCTGATGGGGCGGGAGGAAACGCCCGGGTGTCATCACTGCGAGGACCACCCTGAGGACACGGTGGAACACACTGTTGCGGAATGCCCTGCGTGGGCTGAGCACCGCCGTGCCCTCAGGGAAGTGATCGGCGATGGAGACCTCTCGCGTCCGGGCCTAGTTCAGGCCATGATGCGGAGCGAGGGGGACTGGGATGCCGTCTCCTCCTTTTGCGAAGCAGTCATGCTGGCTAAGGAGGAGGCGGGACGCGTGAGGCAGCGAAGCGCTGCCTCCTCGCAACCCAGCCATCGCGAAGGACACACCGGGCGTCGGGGATCGCGGGACGATCTCCGGCCACCGTAAGCGCGGGCCTGCGGACGGCGAGCATGGGTGGCTCCCCGTCCGACCAGAAACAGACCCGAGCGTACGGCGCGTCGCGTTCCGCGCGCGCCTCAAAGAGCCATCAGACCACCACAGATGGGGCCCAATAGGGCCGATGCCGATTCGGAGTCGCGGAGAACCTAACGGGTAACCGGGGCTCCGGCTCGACGTGCAGGAGAAGGAACGGGGTGGTTTTTAGTCAGTAAGAGTCTGACACTCCCTTCCGCCTCACCCAGGCGGGAGCAGTCATTCGATGATTTTCCCCCCTTAAAAAAAAAAAAAAAGTAGGTACCTATTCCTTTCAGGACAATATGAATTAGGCACCAAGTCAGTAACTCACTTATTAGGCTCCTAGTATAGATTTTACGGTTGTTTCATCAACCTAACTTAGTAACACAATCATGGTAGAGTTAGCGCTTTGTCACAATAGTTCTTGTGTCGATTCGAATCAGTTCCCACGTAGTTTCCTGTGTTTCTAAAACGATGTTAATGTTTTTACATGACTTTCCGAATGGCAATGATAATCGATTTAGTTTGAAAGTGAGTGAAAGTCGCTCAACGATTTTCGGATTCGGAGGAAATTAATGTCGTTTATTTTCGTTTTAATGTTTTATGATAAATAGTGTTGTCAATCAGTTTCTGTATAGGTTTGTCTTTGAAATTTTATTAAAAAACTTTATAAATCCTTTGCGAATAAAGTTTTAAGTCATTTTGAAATTACCTAAACTATGTGAGTAATGCCAAAAAATGCTCTTAAATTCCGCTAAATAAAGTCCAATTTACTTAGCATTATACCAGGATTTTTATAATTAAACTTTCATTGTTAATTAAGACACCTTTATTTACTGTCACAGAAGTATAAGAATAGAATATCGTATTTTTATAGTATCATTGATCTTTCTACATCATTGTAATATGATTACGCAGGTCGTAAAACAATTTCCCATATAAAGAGTTTGATAAACAATTATTACCTACCTGGTTCCTAGTAGTAGGTAAAGTTAGTACATAAGTAATCGTTGCATAACGTTAGTAATGTCATGGGTGCTCAACGGTTGAACGAACACCTACAAATATATAAGGTCAAATCTCAATGAAGGTATTTATATGCAGAGTTGTAACGATTACATTCAGTAATAGCATTTAATTACGATAGGTTCATTCTGATATCCGGTCCATAGATCATAAATCGTGCCTATTTGTATTTACATTAAACAATTATAGGAGCAAAATTAATCAAATTAACCAACAATTTTAAAGAATTAAGAACCTAGCTCTTCTACTCTAAAACTACTCCTAATTCGGTAACAACTAGGTTTTAATTTGTTTATAACGCGTAGGTAATTAAAAGTTATACCTAGTTACTTTCAAATTATTTATAACAATAATATTTTTAGGGTAAAATTTCTATGACCACCTACACGATCAAGTAAGTAATAGTAATGTTAACATAGATACGTAGTTCTATACATATAAATCAACAGAAGATGTACATACATGTCTGATTTGTTGATTCTAGGAAAATCATAAAAATACTGGGTTCATGTGTTCCTCAGTTCCGTAAGTGCACTGAGAAAGAATTTCCCATGGGAAAGTGAAAAACAGGAATTCGGGTAGTCGTAGACGATGAGTTATAGATAAAAAATGGCTTTATCTATTACTTGCTAAAGGAAAACATAAAAATGACAAATTACTTTGATCGATTTCTACTTTATTGCTTTTAGTATAGAGTTTAAAATCTAAGTATTTAGGAAATGAAATACTACATACGCCCTTTATCTAAATTTAAATAGGCACATAATTTACCCTCTTCACGCTGTTTTCGTTGCAAATCCTATGTAATTCTTAGGGATAAACCTGCGTCGAACCGAACCGAATCGAGTAGAAAATCCCAGACTTCACAAGTGCTCCTATATAATAATTTTAATCGAAAATGTGTAGGTAATCAACTCACTGACTGTATTGATGACTTGATGACTGACTAACAATGTATAGTTACTATCAAACTACTAGTCCTTTGTGAATTATTAGTGGGACATTCAGTAACTTTTTGTGATTTCGTCCTGTATTCTATTATTGTATAAAACTACATAATACTAAGTAATTAATGTCGTGGTGGCCCGGCGACGCCTGCTTCTCACGCATGAGAGTGCGGGTTCAAAACTTACTATGTTAGTTAGTAGGTACCAATGTGACTTTTTCCAAGTTATAATTACTTTCTAAGATTATGTAGACAGACACCACTGACAAACAGTAAAGGAAAACAACGTGAGGAAATTTGGGCTTATAATTTCTAATTATAAGTTTAAAATCGCCAACCCGCATTGAGCAAGCGTGGTGATTAATGCTCAAACCTTCCCCATGCGAGAAGAGGCCTTTGGTCAGTAGTAGACATTGTTAATGATTATGATGACATAGTAACATGACACTATTTTTCAGATTTTTTATTCGTAGATGTTTCAGCCTATGCCATGTCTAGGCCAAATGTCTCCACAAATAAAATAACGGGCCGGAAAGCAAACATTCTATGACGTCCAAACTTTTTTATATTGTCATAAAATATATTTACGTATATATTAAATATTGTATTGTATTTGCCAACACTTTCAAAAAGGTATCCAAGTGTTTCGAATGAAAATATAAAGCGATATATGCCTTGATTACTGAAAAATCCTTATTTTGAGCAATTATTTTTGGTAACTATTAGGCTCAGGTTTAATTTGATTAGCTTTGTGACGAAAAAAAGATATTTAGATAATAGCACATATAATAATATTATATTAGGTAGGTACCTACCTACCGACGCTTATTTGTAACTATTTTTCTTGGCACAAATTCAGTAATTATTTAATGAAAAATCGTGGACTAACGTTACATCTACTAATTAGATTTCTCAAATGATAGATACACGACATACAAAGACTAACCCACACTTGTTTATAAATCATCTAAGTGAAATCAGTTACACATCATCATAATCATATTAACCACAAGCTACAAGACTCACTGCTCAACATAGGCCTCGCTAAAAGATTTCCAGACCACCCTGTTAAAAATGACCTGTATCCATAAAAAATGCTGTATTAATTTTAATAACGGTAATTAGAAAATGCGTAGTCAACTGTACTGAAGTGCACTATGCCAAATTCAAGTCTCATAAACAAACAAGAACAAAGCTAATTAGACAAGACAGTATACAAAATGATACAATATTATATTTGAGTAAAACAATTTACTGCGCGTTAATTATTTACTTCCGCGAGGGTGGGACTAATCAAAGCGTTTGGTCATATGAGTACACATACACACCTCTGTGGTTATTGGAGCCACGAATTACCCTCGTACTATAAATTCAGTACAATTGGGTAGTTTCCAGGGTATCAAAATTAAAAATCTAATTAGTCCGTCAGTTAGAGAATGAAAAAATACTAGACACGTATTTTTTTACTTTCTCATATTAAGTTGCAATACTTAGATAAAATGGTGCGAAGTTTAGGAGTGGGAGGTTGTTTCGTCATAAAGTGCTACAAAATGTGACACGCTGTGACGTGACACGATATTTCAAATTAATATATCGCTGAAAGTATTTAATTTTGTGAGAAAAGAAAAAATACGTGTCTAAAGTTTTAAATTAATCTACCAGACGGACAATAAAATAAAATTTAGGTAACTACCCTATGTCCTTATGTTTTTTTAAACTCATTTTTAAGCTTGTAAAATATGAGTTAAAATATTTGGCTATTTTGGATTTTTTACTTTAAACATTATTATAAGAAATAGAAACAATTCTGGATTAGGTAATTGTTTCTACAATTCAAGGCTTGGTTCAATGGTTTCTTCTACAACTACAACACTTATACGTTAGTACTAGTACCTACTTATACACTACTTAAAGACTATGTATTTACCTACTTTGCGTTATACGAGTACATTTGAATTCGGTACCCATCTCTATGGGCAAGACCGTCTTATTACATTATAATGTCAAAAGTTTAATCGTTATTTTATTTTTGTTACAGGATTGACTTCAACGACCCGATCACAGACAAGCCCGCGAACTTGGCAAACTCTGCCGTTTTGCGCATGCTTGAAGAAGAAGAACGCAATCGCAGAGGAGGACGCCCTAGTAAGTACACTGCTTTACTTAAACTTTGTCTAACCCTTACACGGATAACTGCATGCACAATAAACGATATAAATGAGATTTCTCCTACCAAACGCTTTCGGAGTTAAAATGAAATGTAATAGAAAAAATCAATAAAATTTTATTGCATTGTGGAAAAAAGAATAACTATTATTTTTTACATATAGTATTAAGATTAAGGGGTAGTGACGTGTGTGTGTCAGTCTACGAAGATATAAAAAATATCATAACTCGGTGAAGAGAAACGAAACAAAAGAACGCGAAACACTTATCTCCAAAGCTACATTCAACCTTAACTACCCAACGAAAAGCGAAAAAAACCGAAACATATTTAAATTAAACACGACAAAAGAAAGATGGAGTAACCGGTTGATTAATTAATTAACTGACGTACTTCTCACCTTCTCTAAGATGCGCCTGTCTTAGGAACTACTCAAGCTAAATTTAATTTCATCTAGCCACACCTGCTGCTTATCATCTTTCATGCACAGGATGTGTGAGTACTTCTAAAGAGGTGTATAAAATACTAGCTAACTTTAACTTTCACTACACTAAAATGAGCTCAACATGTCTGACAATATTTTAAAATTGCCCAAAAACCTTCTAAATATTAATTTCAGAAATGTTTCATTTCGAACAGACATGAACAACGATCTTCGCTATGTCTCCTCTGCACAGTTTAATAAGAACTGTGTAAGCTTACTAATCCACTAATGTTTTCCCCTGCTTTATCAGACTTAGACCCAAGCCAAGTGTGGGCTATCAAGAAGAACATGGTTCACATGAGCCATCCGTTTGACAACTACTGGCCTCCTGATAGATCGAGGATGCGATCAGCTCGGAGCTGGGACGGTCAGCTCAACGCCACTGGGAATGTATATTCAGAGTTCTTGAAGGCCACTAAAGGTACCAGCGCAGCCTGGTAGAATAGACGCAGCTTTGTCTGTTCTGTACATAAATATGTCACTTATACACACTTATGTCACTTGCACAGTTCAGTTCATTAATCGCTCCCGGTCAATCAACTCATGTAGTCTAAAATCACGACAACATTTAGATTCATACATTTTATGTTATGTGTAAAACAATGTCTTAAAGTGCGTATTAGCGTAGCGCAAGGATCATATCGAGTCCTCTTTGTATTTTTGTGATTAACAATATTTCGATCACGATGCATCCAGCTAGCCGTAATTAGAGTTGAACTCACGCAGAGAAGCCGTCCTACTAATACTACACAACTAACTGGTTCAACAGGAAACCCTCGGCTACCAGACGTTATATGACGCTATGACACTCGGATGATTCATTGATCCCGATATAATGAATGAAACATGATGTGGTAGAGTGTATTGTCCTATCTTTCCAAGTCGTCAGTCGTTAAACTCGTCATTGTATTGACTAAAACCGCCCACAAATGATGAGAAAATATTCATTAGTGAAAAGTATTTGGCAAGGCTTGGAAGCTCCCCATAATGTGCTTTTACCTGTTGTATCTAGTATTAGTGCACAGTCGACAACGGAAGGACACAAACGGAAGAAATGCCTGAAACAGTGTTTGTAGGTAAAGTGTTCATTTTGTTTGTTTTATTGATTGGAGTGTTCAAGTGTACATGCACCTTGACTTGCAGGGTAGCCTATTCAGTGCAGTTTACATTTGTCTGTTTAACTTAACTTTATGTTTGAAAGCGACGTAAGAAAAGAGATTTCAAATGTATAGTTTACTTAACATCCAAGCTTATCGAAATATTCTCAATTCATAATTATGTTTGTGTTATATATGCTACTGTACGCAAGAGTAGAAAAATTGCTCACACATAGATACGCCATGAGGAGGTAATTAAGATGATTATGGAAGCTTGCATACACCCGTTATAAATAGGAGGAGCTCTAGAATCTTTTTCTAGAATCAAATGTTAATAATTATATCAAAAGTGAACGGAACTGTAATTACAACGCTATAAACTATGAAAGCTATTTGTTGTGGTTCGAAGAATTAATTCTTTGAAGACAGTTACAACCGTGATTTTAAATTATACGACCAGCCACCACAAGACAAATGTATAAAGATTCCGAGTTTTCCGTGTTTATTATCAAATATTGACCTTGATTCCAGGATTAAAATCTATAAAAGCGTTGTTTGACGTCAAGTGGACTATTTCTAGGACTGTAGATCTGTGTAGGCTCATGAATCAGAGTTTATTTTAAAGCAGGTGCCGAAAAGTTGCAAACGACGCACAATATAAGTATCATAGTTCATACGTTTTCTCCAGGTGTGCACTATTCTGGGAGCTAGTGGTTTTTATTTAGACTTCTTTACTTATTGGCAATATGTTTGCCACAGTTGCTTTTGATATTGAGATCATAATACAAAACTTTAAAGATTGTTTAATCGGTATGTTTGCGTAGTTATTAAAACTTTGTCCAGTAGCTTTTACAGGAGTTTAAAACATATTCTATGTAATAGCCAACCTGCCCGTCCTTCTCAGACCAGTCAAGTGACACTGGAGTCCTCTAAACCACTCTAACAAGTTAATAACTTGCAAGTAGCCGTCGGCGACGATTGGTTATGTGGACCGTTTGTAATTTATGTGCAACTCATGGCCCAATGAATGAGATAATTGCAACCATGTCCCATAATCCCTGATGGATCAGATTGCTGTACTAATTGCCTGGGTGCCAATTTTCCCCACATTAAACTCTTATACCTAATTTTTATGTACCTATAATGTATGATGCACTTATATGGGCAACATCCCTCATTCCTGTTGCTATGTAAGTTTCGCAAGAAGTGAAATACATTTTCCGTCTTGCCATTTCGTTAAAATTTACGATCTCATTGTAATGTACGTAGCTAATGGCTTTATGCTTCCATTTCAACATCTATAAATTATTATTACCTAGGTGTTCGGGTGGGTGCTGGAAGTCTAGGTCATAGATTTAAGTAGGTGTGTCCATTTTTCGGGTATCGGTATCAACAGGCGTGAGAGAGTTGGCGAATGTGTGTCCTAAAAATGTGCGTTCTCAAAATATAATATGCGGCAGATATTTGCGCTCGTCGCACCTGCTGGCCAGCCAACTAGTCAAACGTAGTGCTCACCGGCCCGCCGGCGGTTGCCGCGTCTCACGTACTTAACAAATTGATTAATTTAATCGTGAGTTCCTCTATTATTTATCACTTTATATCTTCTACTACTACTAGTGAAGCTTCTTCATTTATTTATTTTGTTTTAACGTTTTTATATTTTTTATTGCTTCATTTGAATTTTATAAAGTGCACTTTCGTAGTTGAGTCAGTTTGATTTGATTAAGAATTTTTTTCTTTAAATCAATTCAAGCCAAATCTAAACAACACAGCTTCAGTTCCATTAGTGCAGTAGTGATAAGCAATATTTACCCTTTGGGGTAAGTGAAACTCAATACAATATGGAGTAGGATATAAACAGAAGTTTGTTTTGGCAGAACTTCACAGTTCGGTACAGTTGAACATTGTTAAGGTGGTTTCCTCAACACGAAGTAAATTGAAACTCAATAGGTTGTAGGGTACATCGACACATTGCGGTTTAAGTTGAGAACAATGTTCGGTAACACTTAGAACACCAAGTACCTTGGAACTTGCTTGGAGTCCTGACTCCTAATCAAACCGTGAACAACTTTACAGCACTAATTTGCGAGTCTGGTCCACCCGAACCCGTATTTTTTTTTCCTTGATACTGATTCATTCTTCTTTCTGGTCCAATGGGTAGATATCTCTGATCAGCTGTATAGGATATGCCCTATACCAGCATAAAATTAATAACAGTTATTCTAATTTGGATACACCATCTCCAAACCTTTTATTCTGGTATTTACATTTTAAAAGCAGTTTTGAACCATTCAAGCTGTTTGGAAATTGCCCTACTTAAATACTAATTCGCACTTCTTTATCTTATCATTGTTAGTCTCAATCATTTTATATTCAGTGCTTTCTTTACTTTGGTATAATTAAACATCAAATTAGCTAGATATTCAATTGAAGGCCGGTAATAATTACAATTAAGTGGTTAGCCCCTTTAATTCCAAAAAAAATTACTAGGACTAGGTATATAATCTTACTTTAGTGAATTTTAGTCTTCGAATCCTGCCACTCCAGATTCTATTTCTAATTGTTTAAAATCTCATTGAAAACATTTTCGTAAATTAGCCGTGAGCCGTGCAGTAAGTGGGTAGGTAATTAAATAGGTAACGATTTTATACGCATAGACAAATGCAAGGCCGAGTTCCAGTTTATTTTACTCTCTGGAATTTGTTTTAACATCTGTTTACTGTAACTATTGCACCTACACGTTTTTCAGACATTTCTAGAAACACTTACCTACATTTATTTAGATAGTGCTAACAAATCGTTAATAGGGTATCCAAATCTTTACGGATTAGAGCAAATACTTACACACTCCCGGAATATCCACGTTGAATCATAAATCTTTGTTCGCCTACAATAAAACGAACTTATATTCTAGAAATGTGTTTTTTCGATGCTCTGGCGCATTTCCAACTGCTTGGTGGGTCGCGCTAATTTAAAGAGAGATGTGTCATAATAAGCGTCGTTGTGTTCAACACTGTGTCTCATGGTCTCCAGATCATATCACCCGACGATTGAGATTGTACGTCTTGATTACACAAATTCCAAGAAACACGAATTTTTAAAATCTAAAATAATCTCTGGCACGTAGCAAAAGCTAATCACAAAATAACTCGAATATCTTGCATTGTTACAGGCCAGAAGAAAGTAGTGTGGCCACCTGTGCCCGAAACGAACGGATATCATCAAACACCACAGGTAAATAATGCACTCAATATAACAGCCATCACATAGATAATATGACAAAATTACATGTATATAGGGATTGATTTAGATGCAATGACATCACAGCTGCACATAGCATACATGCGCTTTACGGTGGCGGAGCAACAATAATTGCATGCAAAACCAAGCTATTACTACAGTATTTCGATATGTATTATAAGCTACATTATAAATCCCAACAGCAACAGTCACCTGCGTTCTACAACAACGCGCAGCAATCCCCAGCTTCTCCACAGCCTCAGTACCAGCCCCAACAACAACCACAGTACCAACAACAACCACAATACCAACAACAGCCCCAATATCAGCAATCCCAATATCAGCAACCCCAATACCAACAACCCCAGTATCAGCAACCCCAGCCCCAGTACCAACCTCAACCACAGTATCAACAACCCCAATACCAACAACAGCCTCAGTACCAACAGCAAGCTCCCGAGTCGGATCCTTCGTTCTGTGAAGGCCGACGACAGGAAGCCACAGGGCTGAGTAAGCTGATCCCCGCCGGTCCAGGCGTTACCGCATCCCCTGCTTCCTACCGGCCAGGCCCACCGTCACCAGGCGTCGCGCAGCCCTATCGCCCCGGACAAAGCCGCTGGGCACCAGTACCAGCCCCTCTTTCCCCTCAGGTATTAGGCCACAATGAAGTGGGAACGTCAACGTCGTCGAGTAGAATTTACTTTTAGTGTTCATTATAACTGACTTGCACGTTTTCATTCTACTAACATTGTCTAAGTAAGTAGTTGTATGTGCCGATCGCTATTGTGTAATGAATGCTTTGCCTTTGTCTGTGGGATATCAACTTTCTAGTATAGAAACTAAGATTAATACAGAGTGATATTTTTGTAACACTTAGCCACTTTGCAATTTTTTTACTTACGGCAATCGATTAATTTGCAATATGGATAATGCAGTGTTATTTTAGTTACTTCTCACTTGTACAAAGTTAGTAAGTAGTACACCATGTGATAATCTACTTGCTATCTAATTAACAGCGACGTTGTCTTCTTTGGCATGTTCTTCATTAGTATTGTTGTGGACAGACTCAAGGATCGCAGCCGGGGTACCCGTCGCAACCGCAGTTATCGCCGAGCCAGTACTCGCCACAGCCTCAGTACTCCTCCGTCAGTCCGTCGTACTCGGAGCCCCAGTACCAGGCCCCACAGAAGAACTACGAGCCCCCACCAGCGACGATCACTCTTCGTCAGCAACAACCAGTTCACCAGAAACCTCCTCCGGTTTTCGCTAGTCAACCCGCCACAGCTTCTTATCAAGGTAACTTCCGCACTCACATATTTATGAAAGATAATTTTAAACTTTTTACAATTTTTCAGCATAGCGTGGGTAACTCGGCACGAGTAGGTGGTTGTTTATTTCCTTATTCTCTTAGTGAAATTTATTACAAAGAACCCATTTATTACTGTTAAAATGAAAGTCTCGCTCGTTCAAACATTGGCGCGAATTATGTTTTAGCACAAGCTGGTGAGAACTGAGAACATTTTATTTAACTCAATGGCAATACTAAAGCGCATATCTTCACTTCTTTGAAGACACCTGTGCAAACATAATATGTCGGGACCCACGTAACAAACAATGCTGTTCGTGAGAGAGCTTTTTGTCCTTTAGAAAAATTATTTAACTAGGCAGGTACAAGTCCAGGTGCATGCATTTTAAGGAAAACATGCACCAAGGTACCTATATTTTTTTAAATACATAGAAACCAATTCAATATTCATTATCTATTAACGAATGGGCTTCGTTTAACAGATAGAACTGATAGGACCCGAAGGACATACTAATAGATTTGAATTTCAATTACTTAATTACACCAATAGTTCCTTGTTGCCGCAGATACGAGCATTTGAGACGATATGGTATCCCTAGAGTTATTGAATGATAATGCGCTATGAAGGAAGTTCGTAATTGCAAATCTATGGAGAGACATTGAGGAAGTCCTTCGACACTCGACTTCCTAAAAGCTAAGCTGTGCACTAACAAACTGATGGATGTCTAACTAACCCTATATGCGTCGTCGTGTCGGCACAAATACTCTAGGGGTGTCGCGCGCTCAAAAGCTCAGCAATTTGCGACTGAAGCCAAATTTCATTCCGCATTTAAGTTTATAAATAAAACAATAACATTGTTTTAAAAGGTGACCAAGAGGATCGACAGGAACAGTTGTGACTTGTGAACTAAATGACAAAATTGTGTTTACGAATGCGATACACTGCCAACGATGAGTATTTTGGCAATTTTGCAACAACATAGTAAATGTTCTCGACATTACCTAATTAATAATGTTAACCTAATTGGTGCTAGTTATCTAGACATCTAAAGATTCTAACTCTTTTTTATTGTTTTATTCTTTTAATTATGTTAACTTTTTTCATTACAATTATTATTCATATACAGTTTAACTCGTCGAGTACCGGTTTTATAGACACAATTAAAGAACAATAGGTCGCGGTCACCGGTGACCGCTTGGTGTTTGACAGTTTAAAGTACCATGAATTTACCTACTAAGTATATATAATATTTTTTTATCATTTCCTCGCAAAATTGTATAATCCGTGGTTACATATAATTAAAGATGCATTCTGTTAAATATTTATTGTAAATAATTTTTAGCTCTTTATTCAGTCTTCGTTGGTGATCCTAAATAAATAAAATAAAAATGACTTCTATTTATTCATTGAGATTATAAAATCTCCAGGAGGCTCCAACATGCGTGGGGATCAGAAGTGGCCACCGCAGTCCGTGAAGGAGGCAGTAGCCGCTGAGAATGAAGCCAGAAGACAGCTGGCAAGGGGACCTGCTTGCAGACCTCGCAAGGTATAATAGTTTAAAGTTTATTGCCTGCATCTAAGTAGGGAATTTTGGGGTACGGTAGCGAAACAGCTTTAATTTTTTCAAGGTTGATAAACCTACAGGTTTGGTTATAGTCTATTATTTATATATTTAAACTGTTTATTGTAATTACGTAAGTACTTATTGTATTATACATTCCAATTACCTATATATATCCAATGTTACGCTGATATTTCAGGAGTGTACTCATTGAAGATATACCTATCTATCACCGTGTGAGCTGCCCCTAATACCCACTCCTCAATCGCTAAAAATATACCTAAATAAATGCTGAAAATAACAAGTACCTACCTACGCATGCTGTATATAAGATTCAAAATACTTATTGTATTTTTATGCAATTGCCTTTTCAAAACTTACAAGTTATTCCCCAGCCACGACATAAGATTACGCGTCTCCTTATATTTGATTCATATCTACTTCATAAATAATATATGTGTATATAGATATGTTTTCTCATATTCCTATATAACACTTATTATTGTTTAAACTCACTGTATATTTTTCACCTACCCACTTTTTATTCCCTAAATATTTTTGCGTTCCACGAATAATTATTACAAAGCCTACCAAAAAATTCTAATAACCTGACTCTTAATAAAAAAAATTATAAAACCGTTACCTAAATAAATAAATCCAATAATATTACACACAATTTAGGATTGGACGCACAATTACCACTTTTTTCCAGTTCTTGATTGAACATTACTGAATTGCCGTCAACTACAGGGAGATAACGTTTGTATACTTACTTCGATGTTTAGAATTACTTTCACCAAACTTCTACTGAACCTAAAACAGACGTTTCTAGAACATAATAGAGAACCGATAAACAGTAGCTACCTTCACAGTTTTCAAGGAAACCGTTGTCTGTTTTAGCTGCGCCAATATTCGCTTGCCGAATTAGTTGCAATGAACGAGGTGTAGGCGTCGATTCCCAAGTCCGTATGTAGCCGGACTTTAATACCTAAGTTGTAAGTGCAGTTTGACTCCTAGTGCAACTATATGTTTGGACAAACTTTCCATTAACAGTTCTCGGCACTTGATAAAGGGCAAACCTAGTACTGTTTAGTCGCGAGCACCTAACTCGCGTTTAGTAGGCTTTGCAATATCTTTCTAGACGTAGGTGTACGACTCTAATTTTTAATTCTAAGGAACTCAGTGATCATGTGATTTTTATTGATAGTTTAGCCAGTTTGTATAATGTTAAGTGCAAAAACTTTAAACTTGTTTAAACACTAAACGTAGGTCTAATTTCTTATACATCGTATATCGCTTTCGTCCCGAAGTAAATTGGTTATGTCTTGGTAATACAATAGTTTTACGCATGGTCAAGCTGTCGTTCTGCTTGTTCTGTGGAGTCATTATAATATGACTGGAAACAGTTATTAGTACACGTGAAGCTTTTAAAGATTTTGTATCAGAACGAGACCTCGCCTTACCAGGCGGGAGAAGTGATTGGATTCCACATAGGTAAGCTAGCAATAAATAGGATTGTAAAATAGATCTTCTTTCTAAAATAGGTAGGTAGTGGTACAAAATGAGTGAATTTAAGTCTAGATGAGTTTGAGAGTCGTACACCTATCCCACCATACATTCACGTAATGGACTAAATCATTACACAAATACATTCATTTTTCTTCTGTGTTGCAGTGCTTTGCAATGTAGATGAGTTTAGATTAGACGGTGCATGACTAAATTTAAGATGAAAATTACTGAATTGGAAATATAATATGTTTAAATACTTCCACATTTTATATTAATTTTAAAAAAGATTTAATAATGTAATATTACTTAGTGAGTCGATAATACTCGAGACAATTTCAGGTACCGTTTGTATGCAATAATAATGCGATCTTGTTGTTGCCTCTGTTTACAGGTAAAGAAGGACTATGGTTCTTTCTTCGCGCAGCACGCCCTGAACAACAACTACCCAGGGTACCGCGCGCCACCCGGCACACAACACTATGAGGACCACTCCGGCCGATCTTCATACTAAATTAGATCTTAGTACTAACTACATCCCTCATGAAATGAATATTAGTCTGACATCAGTCTTCAACTGTGAATTTTCACACGAGAATTTGTTGACGTCACTCATGCCCGAGTCTAGTGTCTACTCGCCCTTAATTAAAGACAGCATTTTGTAACGTCAACAAAAGTAGACATCATCTCATCAAAGTAAACATCAATCAATTTAATTGATTCGCTAAAAGCGGAAACGCCGGGTTTTCGAGTACTTGTATAGACTTTAGGTATTAAAGTCTTGTCGCATGTACGAATTGGATTTTAATCAGTACTTAATTGTAGGATTAATTTATTTTAACCATTATATAGTATGTAAGTAAAATATACTCATAAAAAATATAAAAATAACATTATCATGTTCACAAATCGCCTAAAAATTGTCTCATTTTCTTTCATCCTCATTGTTTTCTAAAGTGCGGCTTTATACATTGCGAACGTACCCGAAGTTGCTTAATAATGTAACTGTAAATAATGCTCAACTACCAATGTTATAAACAGATTTTTAAACTCGAGTTAATCTATAAAAACTTGATGCAGTTATGTATAGAAAGTGTTTATAATATTGGATATTTATAAATTAAATGCTTCCGCCAACGTAAACATTAACAATTGGCTAAGCTTATTGTACCTACCTAGTCATGAAGAGATTAAACGAATATTTTGTATATAAAAAGTTATCTAAATGGCCTTATTGATTTGGTATATCATTATGTAATTATATTTTAAATTAAATAAATTATATTAAATGCCACTTTGTTCTTCTTATTTCAATTAGATAATGTTGACCCTTCCCTATCCTCTAGCACTTATTATCATACATTGAAAATCCAGCTTATATACTGTTAACAATATGTGTGATTCAACACAATAAATAAACTGTTGCAACCTTACACAATACTATTTATCACTAGTAGTAATCCAGTATAATATATTTGAGTACTATCACAGAACAAATAGTACATAGAAAAAAGTCTAAAGGATGGTATTAAAAAAACAAAATAAAACCATAAAAATACGTATGAAAATATTATATTATCATACATTACATACATCGTGTACAAACCACGCCGAGTACCTAGACAGAGGTGCTCCATAAATGCTTCAAAATAATAACAGCAATCTAGCTAAGCTACAAACGGTACCAATATGTACAACATGTACAAGTATAACAAAATAGTAACAATTACAAAAGCCGTTGTATTGTCGCCGAATTAACCAATGGCATAAGTTTAATATCACAGAGGTAGCCAGTTTATGTACAATATCATTACGGCTACGTGTTTCTAACGTAATAAGCTTTATCCTTGAACGATTCTCTTTGAGACCGTCCAAGGACTTTCTTATATTGAAATAGCTTCAGTTTTCTATTGGCAACATTAAAACTGTAAAATAACAAACCTAGTACGCACTTCAATCTGTAATTCCAAAGAATGAAAGACTCGAAGTAACTATAAAATGTTTCTCCTTAATTCTGATTAATGTAGGCCAACAAACCTCTTTGAATGAATTAAAAGAGAATCGACTGATTATTTAAATTATTTATTCCTGTTTTCAAGGTAATTGTTTGAGCGTTTTATGGGGAATATTATTATGTAAGGCGTCAGTGCGACTTTTTGAGGTTTTGTTAAAAAAGTCTTCATTGTAACTTCCTTACGCAAGCTTCCCGCGATAAAAACTTTTATTTGCACGCGTAAACAATGGACAAACGTTTAATGATAACGATTATAATATTTACCTTATTACAACGTCAATAATGAAACGTAACATTTCAATTATTGTGTTGTACAGTAAATTAGGTTAGTCTTAAAGATTTACATAATTCGTAGATGTTGTTTGATTAGTGAGTGCGTGCTAGGTTTGCTACACTAGATTGGTGTAATCAAATCTTCGTCTAACTTCGGCAATATAAACTGGACACGACATACAAAATTGTTCTATCATATTACTATGTATTGCAGTGTGTCGTACTAGAACACTTCCAGTTATCACATTACGCTTTGCAGAATTAACGTAAATGTTAAATAGTCTTATCGGAATTAACAATTAAATCATTTGTATATAAAAATGCATAACTGATTTAAACACTATTAAATATTAAATATTTAAACATCAGGTATAGCGTTTCACTTTCTTGGAAGGCACTGTGTATTCTAAAACTGTCACTACAACAATTTACATAACCAAAGTATATTATAACTGCTTAAAAATAGATGAAACATTAGCAGACTTCGCTAATCCGTTAATATATTTTTGTTGCATTTCAAAGTCGTTTTATTATTATTATAATGGACTCGAACTACAATCCTGGATTTCGGAACACATGTACTTAAAATTTTTCATAAATAACAATCGCGAATATGAGCCGTACATTCTCACACAGACTGTTCCACGTCGGAACACATTAGCTAGTCAAATTATTAATTATTTATTGAAATTGTAATACCACACAATTAAAACATTATTACACATCATTTTTCAATATTATTCCCCTGATTGATAACTACGTATTAATTAAACGAACGCTTCCACGCTTCGCTGGACGATTTCTTTTATTACTTATAATATTCCAGATGCAGTAGAATTGTAACTCAATCACTACGCTCTAAGTCCCATCCTAAGGTGCTAAGCTGTATACACACCAAATGCCAGTAAAACTTTAATCTTGATACCCAGTGTGTATACAGCTGATATCATGGTAAAGTTCAATAGACTAATTACTATAGATATCAAACAAGTGAGAACCCTTGTGTTTGTTGAATTGCTTGTACTAAGTGGTACTTGAGTCGTTCTTTAGTCTTATAGCGTGGAAGATCTAGGAGGTTGAAACAAGTGTGAGCCACTGGGAAGTACCTGTCGTCTGCTACTGCTTGGATTCTTATCTGTAAAAAAGTTGTATTCATTTAACTTCTGAAAACTTTAAATTCATTTGAATGAGTTAAGATATGTTTCCCATTATTAAAATTAGATAGCATATAATTTTTCCAAGAAATTACTCGACATGCAAGTGCGACTCAAATATTGTCAAGCAAATACTCACTTTAATATCTCTCATTCCCTGAATCGGAACACGATCACTACCAGTCAAGAACAAAAGGAACTTCTTCTTATCTTCAAGCGGAAGCTCGTGGAAGGTTTCCCAGAACCACCTAAACAAATAAAAAAGGGTTTATAATACATTCGTTGTTTTTCAAATATTTGCATATTACAAATTAGGATAAAATGCTAAAGTTTACGAATTTGCTAGGTAGAACGCGCTAATCTCGCACAGTCACTATTCGTGTGAGATAGTCGGGAATAACTAATTAATAATATTAGTACGACATTCATGTCGTATTGGACCTTACCTGATTTGAGGATCGGTAGCGGTGTAGCCATTTTTATATTCACAGTTGCTTTCAAACATCTCCCAGTCGTATTCCTCGTTACCCATTACGACCGACATCATTTCATGCGACCTAAATAGTTTGATAATTCTACCGCCACATACCTGCGAAAAACATTCGACATTTCATTAAAGCAAGGAACATAAATATGTATTATAAAATAATTAACTTAAAGACGACAACCGTTATATTCTCGCAATAAACGTAGGGACTAATAAAAAAGAAAAAAACATTTTGTCTTACCTTCTGAAAACCCTGATTGAATGCCTTGAATTGATTTTCAACAGACTTATTGAGCAAGAAATCTACATATAGTTCAACGTATTCCTCTTTATTCTCGTGGGTAACGGGCAAGTTCTCGCCGTTTTCCTTCAGCGGGTGCACTTCTATCTGACCGAAAACTTCAGTATTCACCGCGAAACATAAGCTAAATACCTGTTTACATAAACAAGAAGAAATTACAACCGGATGACGCTACAAGGTCGACGTAAGTGGTTTACATAGTTCATCTTTAATTCACTGCAACCGATCAACGAGGCAGTGAAAACAAAAGTGCTTTAAATATGTATTTGAACAAAAGGACTAAACCCTGCATTTGTTACGTAAACAACATCGGTATATTACCTCTTCCACATCCTCGTCAGGATAGTCGAGTAAACTTTTAAGGCTATTTGCAAGAGTAGGATACAAGTCTGATAGATCATCCAACATCACTACTTCTTCCAACAACTTCTTGTATAACACCAACGGGAACGGAACATAGATTATTATAGAATTGTAGATAGCGAGACCATAAATGGCACCTGCAAACAGAATGTTCAATGTCAGTAAGTCCACGATGACCACGCAGTTAACGAAGAAGTCTGAGAAAGTATGAAAGTATAACTAAATACGCAACCTGGTGACGTCAATATATTGTTATTTCTAATTAAGAATGAAGAATGATAATTTGACATCCAAGAATGACACAACTATAAAATACTGCAACAGATTTCTATATTGAAATAGCTAATGTTATTGGAAATTCTCATATTTGTTTATTACATTACATGATACTATTACAGGGCAACTTACCAATCAAATAGTACATGACGTCGTCTTCAAATGGATTATTTGAGAACCAGATCATGTTTGTTTCTTCTGATTGCTTGAACATACCGTACACAGGGTCAAAGATCTCTTTCAATAGCAATAGAAAGAACTCTTTTTTCACACCACCTGCGTCTTCCGCTTCTTCACCAACGAATTCTACCTGCAATTGTACAGATATTTTTTTTGCTAAACGTCTTTTGGATAATTTAAAGAAGAGAAATAAGAGCAATAAGAAATACGTCAGTTAAAACAATGTAACTATAGAGCAGAAAGAACAGGGTGTATGACTAATTTTTATTTCAATGTCCGTCTGGTAGATTGTTTTATAACAAACAAAAACTACCGACGATATATTGATTTGAAATATCGCGTGACGTCAATCTAGGTACATTTCATACGTAGAAATGACGTTTTCACTCCCACTCCTAAACATTGATTCGTTTTATCTAAATATTATTATATTATACGACAAAATAAACCATACGTGTCTAATATT